ACAGTGAACTAGTATATACCATGAACTCAAGGTGGTTGAAGGCCCCGCCGCGGTGGTCTAGTGGCTAAGGTACTCGGCTGCTGACCCGCAGGTCGCGGGTTCGATTCCGGCTGCGGCGGCTGCATTTCTGATGGAGGCGGAAATGTTAGAGGCCCGTGTACTCAGATTTGGGTGCACGTTAAAGAACCCCTGGTGGTCGAAATTTCCGGAGCCCTCCACTACGGCGTCTCTCATAATCAAATGGTGGTTTTGGGACGTTAAACCCCACAAATCAATCAAGGTGGTTGAAGGTGGGACGTAGACCCGAAGCGCGAGCCGTAAGAAAGTGTGCGTGTGCCACCTCTCGTTTAGTCCTTGGAATGTCCACTGAATGGCGGTGCTTCTATATGGGGAATATATGATAAAAAGATGTGAGATGGTGGGACTTGGAGTGTTGAATAGATGGACGAACGGACACACAGACAGATGCATGGATGGACGCATGAACGGACGCAGGGGCGGATGCATGAACGAACGCAGGGACGGGTGCACAAACAGACGCATGGACGGTCACACAGACGGACGCATGGACGGACAAATGCTTCGCCCCACTCTCCATCATTCACTCCGTGGATATGCTGCCATTTTTTTTTTCTCGTTCATAAGTCACTCGGGTACTGTGTAGTCACTGTGGCCAATGGACAACTGGTATCGGCATTGCGTGCTATAGAAACGGCCTATGATTAATGCAAGTCAATATTCGGCCGTGAAACATTCTATTGATATATATATCTCGCAAAAAAGTAGATGCCTCTTGATCGCGCTTCGCAATTTTCTTCGGTATGCCAGTATCGTAAAGTTAAGCCTAAATATTCACGCGGAGCGCGTCTGGCACAAAGTGGTGAGAGTACTGCTCGCGAATGTTCTAGGACTCACTTGGCACCCGTCTGTCTCTTTGCTCCCCTCTTTTTCATGTTCCTAGTAATGCGCCAGTTACGTAATGTTCGGCAAACTAAGGCACCAACTCGCCCGCAAACTTCTTCTAGAGTGCAAAGGATTGTCGCGCGTCTTGATTTCCAAACCGATGGATCACGGAGGCTAGCAGTGCACATGGAAATTGAGCCGCGAAGTCAGCCACAGCGAAAAAACAAGTGCTCTCACGCCTCCTTAATGCCGTTAGAACAATCGGTGTTGTCATCAGTCAACCAAAAAGGAAAAAAAAAGTCAGTTTCACTACAAGAGTAAAGTTATATAGGAATGCAATAGAAACAAATTGAAATGTTACATGAAGTGAGGCTAGCAGCTCACTCTTTGGGGTCCGATCTCACGCAAATTTACGAAACGCTGTTTTAAGAGTGTATCGGCACTCCAGGAACACTCTTTGCACATTATATTCGCCCTGTGACGGCTGCCCAGACAGTGAGATAACTCGCGCGCCAGTGACAACCGTGCTCGTAAAATCAAAGGTCGCAGTTGCTGCACGTCTTTTACTCTAGTTAAAGACATGTGGGGCGGCATTTATTCTTCTCTGTTGAACCTTTGATGGCCAATGTAAATGACAGGGGGATCTTATCTCATGCGCTTCCGAGTGAAGGATGTGGGGCGACATGACAGCAACGGTATAAACCCGGTCAAGAAACTGTCAGTATAATTTTTATCGCAATAAAACATAAAGTAAGTCTCCCCAGATTGTAAATATTCTCAAGTGATTCCTTCGCACTTGTTGAGAACTACGCTTGCAAGTGAGCTCAGCGCGACCGCCGTTTGTTAGAAAATTGCACATTGACTCTCTCCTTTGCCCAAATAAAAAAGAAATATGGTAGCACTTCTCCTACGAAACCAGTCGGTGGCTATCCGTCATTTTGCCTATTCACAGAACCCCATAGTTATTTTCGACCATGTCAGTGGCACGGTGCTCATATAACCCGCCCATCGCACCTTGATGGCATATTTGTGAATGCATGGTGTCGCAGGAGCCAGCATTTCAACAGACTTCGTCTCTTTCATGGCTAAATGCACCCCCCCCCCCCCTCCGTTTCTTGTTTACATTGATCACTGACCACACCCTATTCGTAAAGTCCTTTAAACTAGAGAGAAATGTCGCTTGTTGTTATAGCTCTAGCAATTATTCGGAAGGGTGTAGCATCATTCACAGTGAGTTGTGGCCATTATTCAATGCACCATCTCCGGAAAAAATTCCAAACACTATGTTTTCACTTGCAGTGATTTAATTTTATTCGTCTTCATTCTTCAATCATCGAATTGCTGATTTTCTAATTGTTTTTTTACAAACTTACGACACCTGTCGTATCAGAGAAACGGTATACGCCGTGCTTACCTCGTCATTAACGCATGTAACCATCATTGTCACGCACGCTTCACTTTTGCACATCACGCACATTTTGCGCAATGCAGTGAAACCGGGATGTGACACTTATGTGCTAAGAACTAGATTAACGGCTTCTTTGGATGCCTTTTTTTTGTCTCCTTGTTTATATTGCAGCAGCATTTCTAGTTTTCACACTAATAAGAATTCACCGAGAATGTTGACATGTTTCGCTCCAAATTATTACAAACTTCGTTGTGTCTACTCCAAATTCACTTCGAAACACAGTCCTGCTCCAACACACTTTTTTCTGCTCCAAAAATTGCTCCAAGTCGTGAACTGACTGGATCACCACTAGTTATGCCTAAGTCTTCCACTTCTAGGCATCTGAAAACCTCCTGCAAGCACACGGTAAATAGCATTGGGGAGATTGTGTCCCTCTGCCTTAAACCCTTCTTGATTGGTATTCTGTTGCTTTCTTTATGAAGCACTATGGTAGCAGTGGATCCCCTGTAGATTTCTTCGAGGATGTTTATATATGCTTCGTCGACGCCCTGATTTCGCCGTGTCTGCATGAGTGCTGATATTGCTACTGAATCAAACGCCTTCTCGTAATCTATGAAGGCTATGTATAGTGGTTAGTTATATTTGAGCATTCTCTATTACCTGATTGATAGTATGAATGTGGTGGATTGTTGAGTAGCCTGTTCGAAATCCTGCTTGTTCCTTTGGTTGATTTAATTATAATGTTTTCTTTACTCTGTTAGCAATTACCTTAGTAAATAGCTTGTATACTACAGAGAGCAAGCTGATCGGCCTGTAATTCTTCAAGTCCTTGTCATCTCCTCAGGGATAGAGAATACAATCTCAGAGGGATAGAGAATACAATCTTGGAGCACTGATTTTGTGGTTCCCAAACGTATGGCTTAGCCACAAGTTAAGTATTGAAGCTGAAATTATAAATAGAATGCATTACAGGTGACAAAAAAAAATAAAAGCAATGCATTTCAGCTGGCCTTAACTTCTTCGTACATTAATTGTTCATGACTATTCTGTTCAGTGAGAACATGGATTCAATCGAACCAAAGAAAGACAAGTCCTCAGTCTGACAAAACCATGCGTGGCTGGTTCGAAACATGCTCGTGTACTCCACAACGGCCAGCTCTTAAACGCCGCGAGTAAGAATGCGCTGGTGGCGAGGGCACTATTATTTGGCGCCCACAATGAGGGGCCACGGGGAAGAACAGGTTTAGTGGCGAACCCCTCTCCGTACGGATCTCGTCAGTCTTTTGGTGGGAGGAGACAAATGGGAACGAGAAGAAGGGTTCACCTTCATGTAGCACATGGTGGACGTTTTAAGAATTAGCTCTTCGTGAGCCAGAATCCTGGCCTCATCAGCATTGGGGAGTTATGGGAGTTGCGATTGAGGCGCGACTATGTGTGGAAGGAACAAACACTAAAAGTAAAAAACCAAGTTCGATTCAAAGCCGTAGCAATCACTATGTTTTACAATTGACATTTCTTTCCCCCAACAATATTGTGTAATGAGCGAATAATTTATGAGTTTTTTATATTTACAAACAGTCTATTATTGCTCTATTATTACTCAGTGCAGCCGTTGCACTACAGGGAAAGGCACACTTGTAAAATTCGTACGATGATGCACACCCTCACGTGTTTTACTGTGCCGCACTTGCCTGCATTCTCTGCTGAGCGCGAAATCGCGAAGTGTGTTTTATCATTGGTTCAGCTCTTGAATGCGGTGTCCAACGGGCAGTGGAACAATGCGTATTACATTTAATGCCGAGTGCTTTTGTCGGTACCTGCAGAAACCATGTGCTGTGCAAGGATGCAGAACCAACAAATGTATGCCTGTTGACCCATATGTTTTAGATAATAAACAAGAACAATGGTTCGGAATACAGTGCTCGCTGGACTTGCATTCATCAGTATTCTTGCAGCCCAATTTACTTCTTGAGCATGCAGTGCCTACTCTTACTCGCGTTATGGATGAGCAGATCACCAAGTTGTCTATCATGCTACAATTAGATCGCCAAGCAGATCACCAAGTTATCTATCATGCATACGTAGTGGTAATTTATCGGAGCATAATGGTAAAAAAAACATAACCCAAGTAGTAGTGTCCGCAGACGTTTTTCTGCTTATTACCATTGTGTGTAGTGTAATAAAATTGAGTTATTGTGACCATTGAATAAAACTTATATGTAAATTTTCGCATGAATAAGCATCGTTTCTTTCTGTTAAAAATGAAGAACACAAGCATTGTACATGCAAAGAACGTTCATATAGGAAGCAAATAAGCAACGCTGCAGATATGACAGGTATACGCTGTTTGTTGTTTTAAACCATCTGCAGAAGATGCCACGACTGCGAAATAAATGTTTAGAGAAAAGATTCTTTGTAAAACAGTCACAAAGTGAACGGTAGTACACTTGAACTTCACTATCTAGTCATGAGTGGGTATCGAATTTGCTGGCGTTGACTTGAAGTGCACTTGTGGAGTACTCGCCGGCGATTGCCTTAGCGCGAGTCCTTAGCGATCAGGGGCCCAAGAGAAGTGAATTGAGATCAAATTTCGCGCCAGTGCACCCAAAACGACGTCACTTGTTTACCAGCTATTGTATCACATCCGATATATTTTTTGTTCCGCCGGAAGTGTTCCCTCTTCACAGAGATGGTGGTAAGCCCCAAGCAGCTGATCAGCCACCATTTTCTGAACGAATGGGCTTCTATAGAGCCTTCGCTATCAGTTGTATTTACCTTGTGTTCACCCCTACAGTGCTTACCGCTGTACGTCTACAGCCATGTCTCCGGGTTTTGAAGCGATGATTCACGGAAAGTAGGTAACTCCCTTGGCTGCTGGATAACGGCCGTGGCGGGTAGCGGTAGTATTTCAAGTCTTATCTGATAGAGGCCCGAACTCGGGATGTAGCCCTCGTTGCCTGCGGCTAGCTCGCTGATCGAGGCTGGCGTCGATGTCTTTTTCACGATTGGAGGGGGGCGTTCGATACATGGACCGGGAAGCGCCTCCAGCACATGTCACGTGGTCGTGTTGCGGGCGAAGGGAGCAGACTGGATGTTTGGGTTAGACTGTTTACTGGGCCGAACTTATGGCCACGTAAAAGGAAAGTCAGATTACAGCAAGACACTGGCACTGATAGCGGCGAACAGAGCATCGGCCGTCGATCAACTGACAAGCCGCGAAGCGCGGCGGCATTTATACATGTGTCGTGGAATATTTCAGCCTTATCACTGATTTTTACGCAAGCTCCAGAATAATTTTCAGTCTTGCGGGGCAGTCTTAACAGAACGATTCACAATGATCGCGAACTTTCTCGAACAATAATGCGCAGTTTGCGCTGAGCATTCCTGACCCAGGCTTGTGGCGTATACCGAATCAAACAAAAGTGAAAATAAGAAACACGCGTGGCAATATGATTATGAGAGATGCCGTAGTGAAGGGCTTCAAAAATTTCGACCTCCTGGAGTTCTTTAACGTGCACTCAAGTCTAAGCACACAGGCCTCAAGAATTTTTGCCTCCATTGAAAATACAGCCGTTGCGGCTTGGATTCGATTCGCAACCTGCAGGTCAGTAGCCGAGTGCCTTAGTCAGGAGGCCACCGTTACGGGTAATTTATTCGTTGTCACTTTACGCTTCTGAAGGCGTGCAAAAGCTAAGCCTTTTATGTGTACTTTGAATGCTAAGTGGCATCTGGGTCAACATGAAATGCTCATCACGCACAGCCATCACTTTCCACAGCGGTATGGAACGCATGACATACTTCACTACTTTGCGTAGTGGTACATGTGCAGACGTTTTGCCCCTGTAGCTTTCTCCACATTGCAAAGAAAAGTTGTCTTTATAATTACCACATATTACATGTCACCACAAAATCATCACCACTGATGACATGCATGTTTCTAATGGGACTCGCATTTTCTTTTGGAATGTATGATCTGAAATATTAACATAGTCGCCAGCGACAAGCCCACCAGCAGCACTCAAACATTTTGAGAAAAGAGTAGATATGTAGTTTTTTTTATACCCATACTTTGCCTTTGCAGTCTCTCGCTTACCTGGCTTGGTTTCTCACTATACTTTTAGATCATTTCACAAGACGAAGCCGATCGCAGAGGAAAAGTGTACGACAAGTACATGTGTAGTTTTCTCTTCAACCTTAACAATGGTAAGGGAAAGATTGACTTAATCTTTACATGGATGTTGACATCTACGCTGATGGTTTCTTATAGATTTTGTTGTGGATGCCACTCGTAAAGGCAATAAGATACGGTTTGCCAATCATTCAATCAACCCGAACTGCTATGCCAAAGTGATGATGGTGAATGGAGACCACCGCATTGGCATTTTTGCAAAACGGCACATTCAGTCTGGTGAAGAGTTGTTCTTTGACTACAGGTAAGCATCTTCTGTAGTCTGTGTGTACTTCTTGAATGCTTTCCAAGTTTGCAGAATGCAAACATGATACTTCAGTATCTGAAATTAATCTCATCTCTATTTTTTTTACAGATATGGGCCTACTGAGCAACTCAAGTTTGTTGGAATTGAAAGAGAACTGGAATTCTTGTGATTTTCACTGCTGGTTTTGTTGATCATTTTGTCTTGACCCTATTGTCTTGACTTTGTAAATAGGTTCTAGACCAAGCCATCTGGCATGCACAATTTTGACAATTTTTCTAGGCATGTTTTGACTCTATATTGTGAGTTTTTCTTCGACAATGGTGTATTAACGATTTGCATTTTGTAAACACACTTTTTTGCTGTTAGCTGTTTTGCATTCAGTGAAGAATGCTGATTTACTTCATTAATGATGGTCACTTTATAATGTGATCTCCTAACAGGGGTGGAAGTGCTGCGCCATTCTGACCTGCTGCACCTAAAAGGCACTTTGCATATGCAACGCCACACTTAGTCCAGTTTTATCGTCGACCGAACAACTCACGTGGGCTACACAAAAGACCCAACTGCATTCATATTAATTAGTTCGATCATGTCGTATTTCAGTTCAAGCTTGAATTGTGCTCCACGTGAACAGAATACATGAATCTTATTAAGGTGATGTTTGTGTGCATACCTCATCATACAAGTACATGTATGTTTTAACAGCAAAGCTGTTAGTCAAACTATAAAAACGGCAGTGGTGTTTCAAAAAACTTGCCACACCGTTAGCGAGCAACCGCCAAGCACAGCACACTCTTTACAATGGATAATATTGAACCATATAAACTGAATGAAAAAAAATAAAAATCTGTTTCACCGGCAAAGCAATGATTGCATTAGCAACAATTTGTAATGTTCTTATGGTAATGCCGCACGCGCTCCTTTCGATTTTTGTTACCGCACCATTTCGCATATAATGTTGCTTTGCGCAAACCGTGACCGAATGACTGGGAACCAACTAGATAATTTGAGGACCTTCCGATGAGATTACAAAGCGCGCACATTAGAGTTTGTTCTGAAACTCACGTGGCGGCTAGTGACAACGCTAGAATCTTGGGTGGCGCATGTATAAATGCCGAAGCACTTCGCTACTTGGCAGATTATCAACGCTCTGGTTTGCTGCTATCAATCTATAACGTGTATTGAGTGTAGAGTGACATTTCGTTTTCCGAGCTCAGGTTTGCCTAAATAAAAAAACTGGCAGATCCCACGTACAATCGGAATCGATGATATGCGAAGCACGAATGAGGAAGGTTGATATGTCGCATTAAAATCAGCGCAACATTACGAGGCAGATGCAAATTACGCCGTACATGACTTTCATGTTGTGATTATCTTGTTTGTGCCTAGTATTTGTGTTTATCGTCCATTCACACTACGTAACACCAAGCTTGGTATTATGTTGCCACGATTATCATGTTTGGACGCGTCATTTAACTTCCTCATCTATTCATGTCACGTGATACCAAATTTGGTATATGGGAAGCTAGCAAAACAGTTGCTAGTGCATCATGAGTGTCGTATGTAGTCATGATCCTACATGACATGCATGTCATAATTATCATGTTTGCACCAGTCGTATACCTTTGTCATCCATTCACATCACGAAATACCAGATTCATATAGGTGAAGCTAGCAAAACGACCGCGAGTGCATCATAAGCTTGGAATGCAGTCTTGTTCCTAAGTGACATGCATGTCATGATTATCTTGTTTGCGCCCATCACACAGCTTCTTCATCCATTCACATAATGTAATACGTGATTTGGTTCATGTGGAGCTAGTGAAACGACTGCGAGCACATCATGAGCTTGGCATGTAGTCATCTTCCTGAGTGAAATGTATGTCATGATTATCAGGTTTGCACCAGTCATATATCTTCGTCATTCATTCACATCACGTATACCAAACTTGGTATACGTGAAGCAAGTGAAACGATCGTGAACACATCATGAGTGTGCATGTAGTCATGCTCTTACATGGCACGCATGTCATGATTATCATGTGTGCAGCAGTCGTATACCTTCGTCATCCACTCACATCACGTAATACCAAATTTGGTATATGTGAAGTTAGCGAAACAACCTCAAGTGCATCATGAGCGTGGCATGTAGTCATGTTTTACATGACACGCATGTCATGATTATCTTGTGTGCGCCCATCACATAGCTTCTTCATCCATTCACATCACGTAATATACAAATTTGGTATGTGAAGCTAGCGAAACGACCGAGAGCGCATCATGAGCTTGGCGTGTAGCCGTGTTCCTAAGTGACATGCATGTCATGATTATCATGTTGGCACCAGTCATATACCTTCATCATTCATTCCAACACGTATACCAAACTTGGTATAATTGAAGCTAGCGAAACAGCCGTGAGTGCATCATGAGTGTGCATGTAGTCATGTTCTTTCATGACACGCATCTCGTGATTATCATGTGTGCAGCAGTGATATACCTTTGTCATCCATTGACGTCACATAATACGAGACTCGATATATATGAAGCTAGTGAAACGACTGCGAGTGCATCATGAGCGTGGCATGTAGTCATGTTTTTACATGGCAAGCATGTCATTATAACATGTGTGCAGCAGTAATATACCTTCGTCATCCATTCACGTCACAATACCAAATTTGGTATATGTGAAGTTAGCGAAACAACTGCAAGTGCACAATGATCGTGGCATTTAGTCATGACTTACATGACACGTAATGATTTTCATGTGAGGGCCTGTTATGTTCGCCATGCAGTCATGTTGTACCATACCAGTTTTGCAATATGTATGTGAACGAAACCACACAGGAGAGCAGCAAGACCATGACATCTAATTCATGACATACATGTCATGCTTTTCATGTTATGACTAGTTAGTCACTTATACTCGTCCTACAGACATGTTATGCCATACCGATTTTGGTATAGATCCCTTATCCAAACGGTCAGGCGAACTAAAAATTGTAGGCGGCTAGCTAGATGGATGGACGGACGGATGGATGCGGTCAAAGTCGCCTACGTTTAGTAAGAAATGCTTCGCATTGAAAGTTCACGAAAAATCAGCGGCTGCTGCCTTCGTCAACATCACGACCCCTTGACGATACGAAGGGCGACAGTTAACTCTTTGGGATACGACATCGCGTTATTCTACGAAACGCTAGTGTAAGAGAATAAGTACGCGGAACATCACGGCGAAAACACGTGGAGTGACCATATAATTTGTATCGTAATAAAAACTTTTCACTTCATTGCCTAGTAATGGCGCGGCTAGCTTTCTTTAAAATTTATTTTTAAGCCTTATTGCATAGCCGCTTGATAAACGTTTTTTTTTATCCAGCGGCTTGTACTTATTGGTTTAGTATGAAGATAACTTTTATATCAGTCTTCATTTGCTGTTCATGTTGGATGCGCTGTTTTTAATTACATGTTAACAATGCAACATTTCAACATCAAATATTTTCAATCGTTTGAGGTGTATTAGCTGTACAGAGTGTCACTTATATTATTTTTTTTTAGTTGCTGTGCTTTCAGCTTCGATATTGTAAGGTTTATTATATATCAATTTGGGTCTGGTCGCTTCATTAGCATTGCATGCTTAGTCAAAACTCCTGAATTTTTTGTGTTTACCAAAAAGCAAAAGTTCTAATTAACAGTGATTTGTGACCCGAGAAATCTGTTCCAAAACACGCCTTCTGGTACTCCAGAGCTGCTCCAAAAAACTGCAGCCTGCTTCCGCCCCTGCTTAACTCCCAATGCGTGTGCACTCTCATTTTGCACCTACTGTGCTCTCCAGTAGAATAACTTTAAATGCAGCTGCCAAAAATACCCAGTAGACAAGCTTGGTAAGGGCGTTTTTTTTTTTTTTACCAAAAGACTGAGGCCCATTCGAAACAACCCTACCGGATCTCTGTTTCATACGTGCCGGGAATCAGCGAGCAGTTGTCCAGGGTACTAGGAAAAGAGGGCATTCAGATGGCGCACAAACCCGTCTCAACAATCGGGCGATTCTTGCCGCGACCAAAAGACGACTTTTCTCTTCTTTTAAGATCACTTCCCCTCTCGCTGGATTCCGTGCCGACCGGTTGTGCCCTCGCGATCTCCGACGACAGTACAGTTCTGGCCGACTGGGTTCGTCCTACGCCACCTCCTGACGCCGGTCCCCGACGACGACGACAGCGTAGCTCTGGCCTACTGGATTTAGCCCTACGCTATCTCCTGTTGCCGACAAGAGCTCTCGCCAGTGGTGCCCTGTCCTCGGACTCCTGCGACCGTGTTTCATCTTTCCTATATTCTCTTTACTTCCGTCGTCGCTCGCTGTCCTTGCGCATCTCTCCCCCCCCCTCTCTCTCTCTCTCTCTCTCTCTCTCTCTCTCTATATATATATATATATATTATATATATATATATATATACTTTTAATGCTATCCTTTTTAATCCTTACTCCCTCCTTACACCCATTCTTTGTGAGTTACTGTTCAGGTGTCCCACCAGATGCAGACAGTTACGGGGCTCACTTTTCTTTTCCCTTTTATAACCACATAACCAAAAGATCGTCTGTCGAAATAGAGGTTCCCCGGGCTAGTCTACGAAATTCCGTGCACAGACTGTCTCGCCTCCTACATCGGTGAGACAAAAAACATCCCCGAAAGGATACGACAGCATCGAAGCGATGTGCGTAACCTCAACGCCGTACGAAATGCGCTCGCTGAACACAGCGAAAAGATGGACCACCGCATCAATTTCGACGACGCCCGGGTATTCTACAAGAAGTGTAGCCACACAAAAAAAGTTTTTAGAGTACTGGCACATACAAACAAGTCCTGGAAATGTTAACCGCTCAACTGGAATCTTACCTAGTGTATACATGCACGGTCTACAGAACCAGTTTAGAAAACACAGCAACAACGGTGTAAAGAAGGACGATGGAGAGGGCGACACCGCCAAGAAAAATCGCGAGCTTCAGAGCCGACCGAGCAGTCACCCCTGAAGAAGGGACCGAATCGGTCCCGAAACGGCGGGATCGTCAGTGCAGATTCCTTATTTTTTTATGTTTGGACTATAACTTGGCTGGATATTTATGTTATTAGTATTAAAGTTCACCCAGCCAGACAAATATCTGTCGAAGATGTTCACCTTTACATCATTGCGCTCTCACTACGGCCAAGAAGCAACTCTGCTAGCGAAGCAGTACGTCAATGTATCCCGGGACGTGTCCACCTACAAGAACCAACTCTCCTTCACGAAGACATGCCAGGACCTGAACTTGATACCACGCAGCTTACGCCTCAAGCGCCTTGTCCACACACCGGAAGGAAACAACGTCGTGGCA